GTAATTTTCATTCGAACATCTCCGTTAAATCTTTCACAAATTGAGGCGATGAGATCAAATTTTTGTGGAATTCTTGTTGAATTTTTTGATTCAACATAATGGGAGCGGGTTCTCTCCATTCATGTCCTTGATGGACAACCGCTGATCGCCGCCTTCGGCCAGGCAATTTTAGCTTCATGACGTTTATAGGCGAACAGAAAGGATTTATGCGCTTGTTGTAATTGGTGACGTATCGTGTCCGGACATTCGTTGGCCAATAAACACGTCTCGAATCCATCGACAAGCAGATATCTGAAGGATTCAAACGATTTGAGACTGCTCTCATCAACCATACTGCTGATCGTTATCTCAGTTAAAGAGAGGAATGAAGTGGACTGCGAAGGTAATGACGCAAAATTTCATCCACTACGCAATCTCCAAGTTTTCAGTGAAAACAACTTTCACTTTAACTAGAGTAATCCATTTGACAAGGAGAAGATATATACAGACATAGTATCATCAAGTGAATCGCCTTATTTCAAAATTTTGAAACTGATTATCTGCATTTACAAAAACGTTTCACTGGGTGAGTCTTCTGAAGAGGTACGCATGAAAGATCGATGAAAAGAATAAGACAATGAAAATTATCATATTGAAAAGCATCAGTCAGCACTTACAATCCATTGTCCTCAGGATTCGTGATGCCGAACTGATTTGCGATAACACGACAAAGTTTGCCGGCAGTCATCTGTGCCGCACCCGGAAATGTATGGTATCGAATCGAACCGTCCAATTCATCGGGTATCGCGACCCGAATGAACGCATCCGGTGAGTAGAGCACTGGGCTGATGCTACCAGCAGACGACGATGAGCCGGCTTCATCCTAAAGCTATCAAGTTATTTGTGAGATATTTCAAACCTTCAAAGAGATTTTCAAAATCAACGAAAACCATCGAAGAGATAACTTTAATCAACCCGAATCAGCGAACGAACAAACCTGTGCCGAGCAGTTCTCAACACTGGCCAACTTGCGTATGCTATCAACA